GCCCTGAGGGCGGTTGGTGCCTGCGGAGCGGTTACCGCGGGTCCCCTGTGCTGAAGGAGTTAACAGGAAAGGAAAAAAAATCAGAATGCGTCTTTTTGATAAGAGTGATAATCATAAAAAAGTGGTTATGATGTATGTCATTGATTCTGGTGTAAGCAAAACGGGGTTTATTGAGGCACTAAGATAAAGGTCACTGTAAACTTTTAATGACTAGAATCGAACCTCGAAGTGTTCAATTTCATGGGTTGGTTATGAATCTTCCCTGCCAGCTGTTGCAGATTTGTGCTGAGATGTTCTGCCTTGACAAAAGTGTTCCACAAAGGAAGAAGAGAAAACAAAACCAGTGAAACTATTATTGAAATTGCTGTCACATATCCAAAGTAAACAAAAACACTGTGGTTTGGGTTTGTGTTTGGGGGGGGGGTTGTGTTTGTTTTTTTTAAGTTGTGAACAGCCAAGTGACTTGCAGGGTACTTTGTTTGCTGGGAGCTAAAGCTGTCCCTTTAAACTGAGTGAAAGGACACTTGCTTTATGTTACTTAGTACTTTTTTTAGTTCTGATCATGGAGTCTGACCTTAGGAGTGGTAAAGGTTATAGTCCCTTACATTCAATCTGAAATTTGCTGTTTGTGAAGTAAATATCGTCAGCAGTGCTGGTTCATGGTAGATGAAGTCAAGATATTATCTGTTGACTTAAACTGTACTGCTGTGAATTAGGCTGTAACAAACTGCGGGCTATTTTCTCACAGAAATACTAAGCTTGTAAAATACCCGTTAATGTTCTTGGTTACAATTTAACTGTATTTTAAAATGCTTTCACTAGGTTCGTTCCAGCCAACGAATGAAATGATGCTCAAGTTCTATAGCTTTTACAAGCAAGCAACCCAAGGACCTTGTAACATTCCACGACCTGGATTTTGGGATCCGATTGGTAGATATAAATGGTAACTTTTCATGAGTTGTTGTTTTGTTTTGTTTTTAATGCTTGGAGTGGAGATGCACTTGGAGAAAGAGCGTAGTGAGTTTATTTCTCTCTGAAAAAAACCCAACATTCCCAACCTTTGATGCTTGAATTCGTTTTCTGTCTTGTGTTCCAACTTTCTAGCTTAGGTAATTTGTAATTTCTCAGAGTTGCAAGTGAAAACATTCCCTCGGGTTCTGCGACGGGGCAGGTTTTTCTTGGGCAAGCACCATCATGGCAGCTCTGCAGTGTTTATTCCCTGTTGTAGAACGAAATTGTAGGTGCTCTGCAGAATGAGTGGTGTGGATCAGTGTCTGGAATCCTTTCTTCTCAAGTTTTCATGTCTAATGTGGGCCTGAAGTAAGCAAGTGCTCATTGACAGCTATTGATGCAGCTTCAAGCTCTTGCGGAGGGGTCTGGTTTATGTGTCTTTCTGGTTTGTCAGCTCAGTAGCAGGGCTTCCCGCTGTCTGTATTCTCTTTGTGCTGGGAAGACTCTCCCGATTCACCAAATTGCTAAGATCTGTTTGAAAAGCCATATGAATGCTTTGCTTATTATATTTTAATAATGATTTTTCCTGAAGAACAAGTCTTATTGCTGTCTTTATGGTCATGGTCGTCTTGGGATCTGTGAAATGATTCCTTTGAGCTTCCCCCCTGGCCCAGTCTCCCCAAGTCAGGGTGAAGAGGGTATCTTTGCAGAGGACTAGGGCAGTAAGCTTCCACCCACCTGGTTGGTTGTAGCTGAAATGTGAGCTGCCAGCCTTGGGATTCTGCTATAAGTGGGACAGATACTCTGGCAAGAAGAAAGGATGGTGTCAAATCAAGTGCAAGACTTGAGTAAGGTAATGTTTTATTCCAGTCCGTGTTTTGACAGATTCATTGTGCAATACTGATAAATTCAACTGGAGTTCTCTGTCTTGCAGAGTTGGAGAGGGGGAGATTATTTTTTTAGGTCGTAAGTAGCTGCTGTGGTAATTGGGGGCGGTGGTTAAGCTATTTGCCTACTGCACTGATTTGTCTTTCCCCAGTTGCTAAACACGAAAAGGACAGATTTTTCTTCTAGCCTGTTCTGACTTGCTGACAACTGTTTGTAAATGCTGGCTGAAGTGTCTGTGCCTGCTCTTTTTCTGCAGCAGAGGGTCTCAAAAAAGATCAGCCTAATCAAAAGGGAAATATCTGGACTTGTTAACAACTTACTGGGTACAAGAGCATAGCTGGTCAGTGAGGAGCTCTTCAGTCCCCAGGCTGTTCAGTTTGTTGTTTCTCTGTTGATGTACCACTATGTGATTATCCTAGCAAATTATATGTTTGGACTTTAGAAAAAAAAAAAAGTCATGAATTGTTGTTGCATTTTATTTGTATCAGAGGAACTTTGGGCATTACATAACTGACCCACTTAAGGCCAGGCTGAAAAAATCCATTAGGCCCTGAAGATACTGAAGATGTATGTGACTTTCTTTCCTAGGGACGCTTGGAGTGCCTTGGGAGACATGTCCAAAGAAGAAGCCATGATAGCCTATGTTGAAGAAATGAAAAAGGTAAGTTTACTAATGAGTAGAAGGGATCTTCTAGAACTAATGTTCCAGAAACAAATTAGGGAACATGAGGAGGTTCTTGCTGATTACTACTGTCAGAGCTCCAAGTGAGTAGTTCCCTATGTGAACATTTACGTTTCAGCACTATGCTGTTTGGCCTGCGGGCAGAAGAAAATTATGTAGTTCCTTCCAAAGCTGTAGAATTTGGATTGTTTTCAGAGAAACGTGAGAGTTCTAGCTGATGCGAGGCTTAAATGACAGAGCTAAAGAGAGTGAAATATTGAAATCATGGTAAAGGGGGCAGCGGGGAAAACAGTAGAACGTAATGTACAACAAAAGAAAAGCTGATTTACTGCAAACTGCCTCAGTTCCCAGAGTTGAGAGGTAAGTGAACCTTATCTTGGAAAGCAAAAAACAATCCTTCAGAAGGGGTTCAGGAACAAGAGTCTCACTCCCATGACTGGAGCCATGAGTACAATCAAACATGTGAACTTAATCATCTTTGATTTTTCAAGAAGAACTCAGCGGCCTGAGTTTTCTGTACTTGTCATGAAAATATTCCTTGTATATTATAGTTGCAGTCAAACAGTTAAATTGAGTAATTTGGTCTGTCTTTTTTGGAATAGATGTGTAACTTGTAAACAGTCATAGGTACTATATTAAGCAGGAATTGCAGCATTAAGGAAGTTAAACATTCAGAATTAGAGTTTCTTGTTGTTTAGCTAACCCTTTTCACTGCAGTCTTTTCACTATTTAGTGTCACGCTGGGTAAAAGTAAATTTGTAATCTATTACTATAATGAGGTTAACATCAAGGAGAGAAAATGTAGGTTCTACTCTGAATACACTTGCTTTTCTCCTAGGCCACTGTCTTGACATTGAACTTTTAACATGTTTAATGATTGATACAACAAAAATTTTTACTAACCAAGGAGCTGGAGTCTGACTACTGTTCTTTTTCTGATCTGTAATTTTGGTAATCTAGTTCCTGTTCATTTTAAAATGAAAAATAAACAACTCCAGAAAACACAGAACGCCAAATATTATTCATCTGGTAAAAAATACCACTGGGTTTTAGTAATTCCTTTTGAAAGCGTGCCACAAGATTTAGTGCTTCATTTCAAGTCTCTGATTCAAAATGTGTTAACACTTCAGTAGAGTACCTTTTTTGTTTTTTTTTTCAGTGCAGTAACTGGTTTGATCAGGACACTAAAACTAAGTGAAACTGCAATATTTGTTCTAAAACAACCCTAGTAAGCCTCCTGTGAGGAAGTCTACTTACTTGACCCTAATGTAGCACAAATACTCTGCCTCTGTACAGATTACATGTAGATATTGGAGAGCAAATGACTGCTTGCATCGCTCAGCTTTGAAATTGGGCAATCTGTTTACCTTGCTTTGGTGCTGTTTCAACTCTCACATTTGAAATACGAGCTTCAGCTTTTCCAACCCAATTGATTCGACTTGAAATGTCAATGGAAGTGCATTTCACATGGATCTGCTGGGTTGTTCTATCAGCACATACTGCACTAATCCTTGTGGTGTTGCTGTGGGTATTCCGCTGTTGCTGCACAGGTATCCCTGTCGAAGGGGGCAGAAAACTCCTTGTATAATGGTATTGCAGACTGTGTTTAAGGGTGTATGATTGCCGTATTCCTCCCCTCCCCCTGAGGCATGTCCCTAGCATTTGTGTTTGGGCTATACATACATCAGAAGATACTTTTATTGTAAACTTGCTTGGTATTTTTTCCCTTTATTACGGTAGCCTGGAAAATTGCAGCTGTTGAGGAATGTGTCTGGGTGAGATTTTGAGGTGCTGGTGGGAGATGACCAAACAGGTCTTAGTGTTAGCTAAGATGAATCTGAGCTCAGGTGCGTTTTGTTTAAAGTTAGTTTATCTTCCAGGTAGCATTTCTGAAGTTTTACATTGCAACACTGTTTAAACTAATTTATTTGCGTTTCAGATAAATTGTTTTGTTATATACTAGAAATGGGTGATACCTTAGCATGAACAAGTGTTAACACTATATGGTGTTTCTAATTTAAAAGAAGAGTCTTCATATATGAATTGTCTGACATCCAAAGAAAACAGTAATTCAGGATACATAATAACTTATTTTGCACCTTCAAATGTTAAGATTGCTTATTATGCCTAGTGGCTATATAAGTAAGCAACTGATTTTGTTTGTGGAAGTACTTGCTCTTTTCTTGCTCCCCTAAAAGGTAGCAGTTACAAAACTCTTCCTGTAACAGAAGCTGTGCAGTAAGATTCTAAGAATTGCTCCAAGTTGCAGAGAGTATATTGAGGTCCGTTTAGAACGGATGAAGAGCAGTTATGTGCAGACGTCATAGAAATGCACATATGAAACAGTTTACAGTGCAGGCTATAGAAGGAAGTACATAGCAAATACTAGTGTTATTCTAGAATAGGTTTCTTGTTTCTCTCAATGCTACTGAAGTTGAAAAAAAAATTTAAAAAATCACAAAACTGTCCTGTCTCTGGCTTATATTCAGCCTCTGTATCTGAGCACTGAGCATTTCTCTCTAATGAATATGGAATGAGTTATATACACTAAATAGATCAGAGAAGTGGCAATGAAACTGCAGTTTGATAGGATTGTTGCCTCTTGGTATCCTTGATTGGTTTGCCAGTGTTGACTTGTTACCTGCTAGCCTGCCTGGAGCTCCTGCTTTGTGAAGAAATGCTGTAGCTTTTGCTTCTGCTGCTCAGTGATGTGCTTGATGCTTTTGAGCAGCATGTTCTGTGGCAACTTGTATGTCCATCTGTTGCTTTCTTGGTGCTCTTCTGGAGGGGCAGGTGTACAGTAGCTGTTAGTTTGCTTCTACCCAAGTCTTTTCCTATATCTACTGCCTCTTTTAAAAAATAATAATGAAAAAAGTAGAAGATGAAAGAGGAAAAAAGCTATCGGCAAAAAGCTTAGTTGGAAGAACTTAAACTAGGATAGGACAATAGTATCATATGCTCTTAAAATAGTATTCAGTTATTGAAACTCTTCTATTTAATCTGTTTTAAATTTAAGATTTTACGTTCCTATCAGATGGCAGGGTATCAAAGGTACTGGTTTTGTAACTTAAAATGAAGAAATTTTTATCTCAGCAAGAGCTCCAAATGATTTCGAGATCAGAACTCAGTTCTAGTTTGCTGTTCTTCCAAGTATGTCTCTGTACTGTCCCAGTTTTGCTGTATTCTGTCCATTTTTGTTGTTTGGGTTTAGATGGACCCAGTAGGGCACTTTTGATCAGCTCCTTATGTTTCTTTGAAGATAGCAGGGTTTGACAAATATGAAGAGTCCTCTAAGAAAAAAAGTCTTTCTGTTTCTTCTTCTCTATGGGAAGACGTGTATAAAATAAATAACATGAGATAACAGAAGCCTGTTGAGCTTTGAGTTGGTTTAGTTTGAAATTGCTGAAATAATGGATTCCAAGGTCATCTAATACTATGCTGAGGTTGTACTTGAGTGTTGGCAAATGCATTAGCTCTCCCACCTTCTCTTCATCTAAAAAAATTTAATACAGCTATTTAAGATTCTTGTTTGGTAAATTAGTTCTGTGTTGTTTTCCTTTAATGAAAAAAAAAAAGTTAAAAAATCAGAATAATGTGTTAAGTGACTTAGTGAAATGTTACTGAGTTTTACAATGACCAGCAGTTTCTAAAATCAGTTGAATCATTGAAATGAATCATTGAAATGCTGTTTCATAAGATGCTTCATATTTTGGACTTGTGCAGATTCTTGAGAGTATGCCAATGACGGACAAAGTTGAAGAATTGCTACAAGTAATAGGCCCGTTCTATGAAATAGTAGAAGATAAAAAGAACAGAGGATCTGACCTAACCTCAGGTTCGGAAAAATAACTTCCTTTATGCTACTGATCATGACAACTCCAGTTTTTTTGGGGCTTGTTTTCTGTACATGATTTTGAAGCTAAATGTTGCATCTTTCTGTTCATTCTCTTTACCGTGTGGCAGTTCGAATGGAGAAAGTCTCTAAGTATTTGGAAGGTAGGAATAATAAATTATGTGTAAGTCCATCTTTTCCATTGTTTTGGTGCTGTAGTAACTTCCTGCTAATGCTTGTGACTTCTGGGCTTGCCACCTTACTAGGCTGGATTTTGTTTTGTTTTGCGTTCGAGATACAAACCAAAGTTAGACCCAGGAAGCTGCACACTTTGTCCTTGTCTACAGGCTTTTCGAGCTGATGAAGGAAGCCTCTTCCCAAAAAAAGGAGAGTATTTAAAATAAACGAACAACTCCCCCAGCCAAATCTGATTTCTGCCTTTCCATTAATAAAAGGAACAACTAATGTGTATTGCTACATCCTGATAGAGCTGTGGAAACTGCAGCAGAGCTGGTAATCCAGCTCTGTCATCTGATCTAAAATTTTAAAAATCCGCAATGAAAACCCATGCTTTTTTTATCATGGTTTCTCTGATACATACAGAACACAAGATGGGTTTGTGAAGCTTCCAAGTTAAGTTTTCTGAGGCTCAAGTTCACGAAGGGAATGTCTATTTAAACATTTTAAATCTCTGACAAGTGGCAAACCTAGTGGTGTCATAGTGTGATGATTTTTATTTAGCAATACCATTGTGAGAATGTTTTGATAATAACAGTTATGAAGTTACAGGTAATGTGTTCATAACCTTGTAATATAAGGCTTACAGTAGTTTAAATGTGGCTTAAAATTACAGTTTAAAATGCAGCAGGGCAAAACATGAAACAGTTTTTAAACAACAAACTGTTGCACAAATCGGTTGGTTTAATGTGTTTAAGGAGTCAGCTGGTTAAGTTTCCTTTTTCCCCCTACCTTAAAGTAACATAGTTTTGATTTTGGTTTTGGTATCAAGTCTCAGAGAAACAGAAAAAGTTTTTAATTGTTTTTGAGGAAAGGTGATAGTAGAAGTTTTAAAATGGCCATTTTGAAAGCTGTGTGACTTTTTTGTCAACTAAAATTGTGTGTGCTTTATGTCTGGCATTTAATGAGCTTGCCAGACAGTTGGATTGACGGGCAAGATTGTAAGAGTATCAGTAGATTCAGGTCAGTGATCTGGGTAATAAGGATTTACTTGGACTTGGTGTCTATGGCACAGTGCCCAATGCCACTTCTTAGAAAAGTGGCTTATGTAAGCAAACAGAGAACCATGGAAGTTAAACCATACCTGTTTCAATCAACAGATCTAGCATACTTGTTTTTTAAAGAGGCAGTTTAAACATTAGCAGTGTAAGTAAAACAGAATAGCAAATTTAGCTTTATGTTTTTCTGTCAGCGTTGCAATAAATCTGGTGATATGGAGTCATTCATACAGTTTAAAGCTGCAACATGTAATTATGCCACAATGAATTAAGACAATTTTCACGAAGTGTGTTGTATGATATAACTTTGCTGTTGCATTTAAGACTTTGAAACCCTTTCTTTAGTGCTCTTACCACTTCTCTGATTAAAAGTGATGCTGGAAGGAATTATAATTGTTCACAGTACAGGTCTCGAAATATTTCACAGAAATACGGAAGCATGAGTACCTTCAGTCTGCCAGTTACACGCTGAATAGAACCAGTCTGTCCTAGCTTGCATTCAAGATGGTGTAGACACTGGTGACAATACTGTTAAAAATTGGCAGATGGTTATGTTTTGATTGTGTTGGTTCCTCCAGTCCTGTTTCCTCCCCTGCCCCCAAGCCCCCACTCTCTGTAGCTTCTGTTGTGGAAGGTGTTTTTTCATGGGCAGGCAGTTGGTATGTTCTGGAAACTGGAGCCCTGCTCTTGAGTCTTTTACTTCGTATGGTACTCCTCCCATCTTCTGGCCCATTCTGTTTTGAGTTTGCCTTGCATTCTTCTTCCATCAGATTTTAATCTGTATGAAGATAATTATCTAATTGTTTAAGAACTGCATGCCACTTCCTCACAATCAATAGTATTCTTGAATTAGTCGAGATTTCTACTCCTGGTGGCGTCACTGAAAATGTTGAATACAAACCATTGAAATACTGTCTTCCTGAATCAGTAGAGCTTGTGGCTTTCCTTAATAAAGAACACTGAAGCCTGACATGCCAGCATTAAAATGACTTGTAATGTCTACTAGACAACTAGGACAAACTTGCTGGATCCATGGGTTACAAATATCCAGACATGGATGCATTGGTAAAGAAAGGAAAATAGAGAATTCTGTCCAGTAGGCTGAGCAATCTAAGTAGTGTTTTGAAAGCTTGTCTTGGCAGTTGTGTGAGAAGCTTAGATGGTCTTGAAAGCTCAGTCAGTAGTCTGTTTCTGACAAGTATAAAGAACTTCTCTACAGAGAAAATTATTGACAAATTATTTTCAGGTGCATAAATTATTAGACCTCAAAGAAGAAAGTGGGCTCTTAGCTGTCATAGCACTGCAGAAGAGGATAGGTCACTGTTGCAATGTTACAGAAGGACCTTTCTGTTTGCAGCTGCTGGAAAAGTAGAGGGAGGATTGTCAGGTAAGGGGGGGTGTTCTTTAGAAGAGCTACCTTTTAACTGTTTGCACTTGCTAATAAATGCACAAGAAATCTGATGTCCAAGTCAATGCTAAAAAGACAAAAAAGCTTCAAAATACCATTGCTCAGTGAATTTGAAATTTTGAGAACGGGCGTTTAAGCTTTCTTGTTATGTTACCCCTGGAGAAGCTAAAGGTGGGCTGGAATTGGCACCCTACTGAACTGATACTGAGTGAAAAATGTCAAGAGTTTTGGAGCCAACTTATCCTTCTGAATGATTCCTTGAGAATGTTTGTGGATGTTTTCTTTTTTCTGAATGTGAATAAATCCAACAGGGGGCAAGAAAATCCCTACCTGACAGGTAGTACACACTACTTACACACTAAGTTATCTCAACAACTACGCAAAGTACCTGGAAATTGTTCACAAGTTCTTCAGTAGAATTTCCCTGTATACTCTTCCTGCTTTGTGACAAGGCATTTAATCTGTTTTAAAATGCTGCTAAATAAAGACGACCCTTTGCCTTTATGCTGTGTAGTAGTACTGTCTGTAAGCCTTTGTGAAGACCAAATGTTGCCTCCAGTAATGACAAGTTATGCACTGCAGAGGCTGTGGAAAGTTTCGGCATTGTAGTTCTCCTAAACTTTGGCATCCTAATGGTTGTTTCTCTCCTGAGAACTTTGCTCCCAGCTGTATTGCACCAGAGGAATCCCTACTGAAGCAAGGTGACTCATGCTGCTGCGTGCACTGGCTTTGGGCAGTGCTGATGGCAGCATAGCGCGCTTGCGGTAGGAGCCCATGCAGGGCACTGCTTCAGTAGTGCCTGGGTGAGTGGCAGAAGTTGGCCTGGCTCACAGGCAGATACGGCTGTTTAGCAATTTGCTCCATGTCTTCCTGCACTGGATATGAGAGCTAGGTTTAAAAGATGATACTCACCGAGGTCTATGTGCTTTTAGAACAAGCAAATACATGTAAATACTTGTATTTCGAAGGCAGTAGTTAGTGCAGAACATAGGTAAGCTTGGAGGGGAGGATTGCATTTGGAAAAAAGTGAGTCTGTTCTTAATTATTACTTTCCAGGTAGAAACACTTAGTCTTACTCTTAAAATACAATGTATTTTTCCAGCTGTGCTTCTGTAGACTGCATATGATTAGTTTCCCTTTTCAAATAGTTTTATTTTCTGAAAGAGCTTCTCATATTATTTTCAACATATTCTCTTTGTAGTGGAGCATTTGGTGGCATGCTCTTCCTGCTTGTGTGTGGGCCTCTTCTGTGAAGCACCCTCCTTTTGCTTCGTAAGCTCAATTTTTCAGTTCTGTTTGACTTCAAATATACTTGCTAAACTGATTTCCTTCCTTCTGCTTCCTCTTTTCCTCACTAGGATTTTTAAGGAATTCAATGGCTGTGAATCTTCTTAATGCTTTGTAAGAAGGCAAAAAAGAGCTAAAATCCCTGTTAGTGAGAAATTGCTGTGCTTTAGTAGGATATGTTGAATGGGTGGCAGTACCACAGCTAGGAGGTACATGAAGGCAGGACAAGCATGGGGCAGGACGAGCTGGTGGGTGGGTGAGAGAGGTTTTTAAAATTCTGTCCTTCAAACTTTCTTCTCTTCTGTTTTCCAATGATAAGCTAACAGCTGTAATCAAGGTTACAGATCATATTCAGGGAGGCTAATGTGAAACTTACTATACAAATATTTTCATTAATAGCTTACCTGCAGAAGTGTCTAGAACATACTCTGCAGTATTTGCTGCGGGATGGGATTATTATAGGATTAAGGGCTGGGCCAGCAAGTGCCAAAGTCGGTGAAGAGTCTCAATGAGATGTGGATCATACGACAACAACATAGAACTTGTTGTGTCTCAGCAAGCAGTGGCTTGTCCTGTTGCAATATATACCTGCTTCAGGCTTTGCAGTTAAAATCTAGGCCTGCTTTGTGATTCGACTTCAAACTGATAGTTTTATGCCAGTGTTGTCTAACAATGTTGGAAATTAGGGCAGAACATCAGTATAGCTCAAGCCTGAGGATATCAACAGCTCCTCTCTCATACAGAGTGGTAGAGAATGTATCACCACCGGGTGAGCAGCAGAGTATCCAAATGTGAAAATGTAAGAATAAAAATTGTTTCTTTCAAAGTAGAGGGAGCTAAGAGAAGCTTTCTTCCATGAAAAGCAAAGCCTGTCCGTATTCTGTTTCATGCTGGATTGAGTCAACAATAACAGGTTTTTGTGCATAATTGGTCGTTGGACCTGGATTTTTTTTCTCCAGCCAGACAACAGTTTCCCACAAAAGGGAAGAGAAGTTGTCAAAAGCTCTTCAGGCTTTGAGAATCTGGCAGATGTAAGACCACCAATGTTTTATAACAAATGGGTACATTTTAGA